AAATACAGTGTGCAAAATGTCAACGAACTCTATCCAGCCACAAGGACCGGGGATCACTACACACAAAAGACCAGCTAATGACACCCATCAACCACAGTGACAGACAATCTCTCCTTCTTATCACAACAATACACCGAAACAAGACACACTAATAACCCATCTACAGAAAAAGACAAAAGCCCATCTCATAGCCACAAATACTGCACTTCCAAGCCAACTACACCAGAGCACAGAGTGCTGTCCTCTGAAGATGCTGGCCACAGAGACTGGCGAAACTTTAGGAAGAACAACCTTCAGAACACGGCCAAAGAGCCCAAAAAACCCACAACAACAACAACAACAACAAAAAACACCCTACGCTCATAGCCACTGGTCCCATCACCTCCTGGCAAATAGAAGGGGAAGATATGGAAGCAGTAACAGATTTTAATTTCTTGGGCTCCCTGATCACCGATGATGACAGCAGCCATGAAATCAAAAGACCCCTGCTTCTTGGGAGGAAAGTGATGAGAAACCTAGACAGCATCTTAAAAAGTAGAGACATCACCTTGCCGACAAAAGTCCACATAGTCAAAGCTATGGTTTTTCCAGTAGTAATGGAGAGCTGGACCATAAAGAAGACTGTTGGCTGACAAATTGATGCTTTTGAATTGTGGTGCTGGAGGAGACTCTTGAGAGTCCTCTGGACTGCAAGGAGATCAAACCTATTGATTTTGAAGGAAATCAACCCTGTATGCTCACTGGAAGGACAGATCCTGAAGCTGAGACTCCAATACTTTGGCCATCTGATGAGAAGAGAAGACTCCCTGGAAAAGACCCTGATGTTGGGAGAGTGTGAAGGCAAGAGGAGAAGGGGGCTCCATGGGGCCATGAAGAGTCGGACGCGACTTAATGACTAAACAACAACAACAAGAGTTGTTGGTACCATAATGGTTCCCTACCTATCACCATACTTATCCACTCTAAGATCAATGTGTCTGAGTGAATGAGTGGTTAGAGTGGAGCTCCTTGAATCTTATGGTCTGTCACAAACATTCAGTTTTTGTAAAACATCAAGGCCAGGATCCTATGAAGCAGAAAAATGAACACGTAAGAGTTTCCTCTCCCTTACTCTGGCACAGTTCCCAGACTGGGCCTGTTCTCTCACTGGTTGGAAGATTGGCTATGCATCTGATTGAACAATGAGAAACCTGCTGAAATTAGGGGAAGGAGACTTACATGGTTGTTCTTCTGCTCCACATTTAAACAACAGGATACAGTGTCTTTCTGTGCTGGCTTTTACAATAAAGAAACATCAAGTACAGTGGTGCCCCGCATAGCGACGTTAATCCATTCCAGGATTAACGTTGCTATCCGGAAACATCGCTAAACGGAATGGAAAACCCCATAGGAACGCATTAAACTCCATTTAATGCGTTCCTATGGCGCCAAAACTCACAGTTATGTGAAGATTCCCCATACGGCCGCCATTTTCGCTGCCTCAGTAAGCGAGGGCAGGGCGCGAAAACGCTGCGGGTGGTCATTTTCTTCTTCCAGCGGCCATTTTGGAACCACCGATCAGCTGTTTCCGAAACATCGCAATGCGAAGATCGGTAAGTGAAACACATACCGATCATTGCAATGCGATGTTTAGCCTATCTAAACATCGCAATGCGACCATAAAAACGATCGCAAAAAACATGTCGCTATGCGGATTCGTCGTTAAATGGTGCACTTGTTAAGCGAGGCACCACTGTACAGTGGTGCCTCGTATAACGAGTGTCGCAAACACGGGTTCGAAAACACACGTGTAAGCTTGGACAGAGAGCAATCAGGAGTTTGCACATGCTAAAATGGGCTGAAAGAGTCCAATTCAGCCAGCCATGCTACAACACTCCTTCTCACAGGTCTGCCCACATAAGCACACCCTGGTACTCTCAGATATTACTATGAAAAGGTCAAGTGGGCTTTGTAGTCATTAGACTTAACTTGCACCACTGACAGGACTCTAAGTAAGCTAGGCCGAGGCAGTCCGGCTATGCTTCCGACCCTCCCCCCATGGCTCGTATAACGAGGAATCCACATAACGATGGCATTTTTTCGATCGCTTTTGCGATCGCATACCGATGTTGCCTATGGGGAAAAATCTTTTTGCAATGTTTTCCCCATAGGCACCATTTGCCGGCTGAACAAGCGGGCGTTCGCTCAGGAGGAGGTGGGGGAATCTTCCCACCTCCTCCTGCCCGATCGCCGGCCTGTCAGCCGGCTGAAAACCCGGTGTTTGCTCGGGAGGAGGTGGGGGAATCTTCCCACCTCCTCCTGCCCGATCGCCGGCCTGTCAGCCGGCTGAAAACCCGGTGTTTGCTCGGGAGGAGGTGGGGGAATCTTCCCACCTCCTCCTGCCCGATCGCCGGCCTGTCAGCCGGCTGAAAACCCGGTGTTTGCTCGGGAGGAGGTGGGGGAATCTTCCCACCTCCTCCTGCCCGATCGCCGGCCTGTCAGCCGGCTGAAAACCCGGTGTTTGCTCGGGAGGAGGTGGGGGAATCTTCCCACCTCCTCCTGCCCGATCGCCGGCCTGTCAGCCGGCTGAAAACCCGGTGTTTGCTCGGGAGGAGGTGGGGGAATCTTCCCACCTCCTCCTGCCCGATCGCCGGCCTGTCAGCCGGCTGAAAACCCGGTGTTTGCTCGGGAGGAGGTGGGGGAATCTTCCCACCTCCTCCTGCCCGATCGCCGGCCTGTCAGCCGGCTGAAAACCCGGTGTTTGCTCGGGAGGAGGTGGGGGAATCTTCCCACCTCCTCCTGCCCGATCGCCGGCCTGTCAGCCGGCTGAAAACCCGGTGTTTGCTCGGGAGGAGGTGGGGGAATCAACGATGTTTTCCCATAGCGATGTTTTTTTAGAACGAATTAACCTCGCTATGCGAGGCACCACTGTATTTTATTAATACTTCAGTTCCCTAGCTGAAATACTTCCATTCCCTCATTAGAAACATAGTAGAGGAAGGTTGCATGAGAATTTGAGTGCACAACAGATCACTCAGGACACCCTCGGGGTACCCACAGGAAAAGCCTGTGGGACATTGTAGGTCAAAAATAATAAATTTTCCTCAAGCTTTGCATTGGGATTCCCAGTGTGGTGTGTAGTGGATAGAGTGAAGGACTATGACTCTGGAGAACAGAGTTAGAATTCCTGCTCAGCCATGGAAACTCACTGGAGGTGTGGAACTGGTAAAATCACTCCTTAAATATCTCACTAACATTAAAAGCCCTATTAAAGCCACTATGGTCAGTTTTGATTTGACGGCACAGAACACACACGAGCTTTGCATTGTTACTGCTGGGACATATTCAACAACAGTCATGCAATTTTGGTGGTTTCCTCCCTGCTTTGCTTGAATTGTCAGGACGGGCCCAACGTCACCAGTACTGTAGTCAAGCCTCAGATCACAACCTGACTGATCCTGATGGGTTCAGGTAGCTTATCTAAAGGTTAGCTCTGCCTGTCGGTAAAAATTAGTACCTAGCTCACTGGGGGATTCATTTTTATTTAATTTAAATATATTTAACTTGCCCTACATCAATAGATCTCAAGGGAATGTACAATCAATAAAATCAACTTTTAAAAAAATGCTAAAACAGTCCAAATACTGTTAAACACTAAACATTCAAGACAGTTGGTTTTTACAGTTTAAAACAATGTATATGAATATTCAGCTGACTGGATAGCTCAGTGGTTTAAGTATGTGGCTGCGGAGCCAGAGGTTGGGATTTCAGTTCCCTCCTGTGCATCCCAGAAGAGCCAGCCTATGTGGCCTTGGGCAAGCTGCACGGTCTCCGGATGTCTCCATAAGGAGGGAATGGTAGACCACTTCTGAGAACTCTACCTAGAAAACCCTGAGAAATGTTGCCTTAAGTCAGAATTGACTTGACAGCATATGATGATGATACGGATATTCATTGGCCACCAAAAGTCAGTAGGTCTGGAGCACCAGGCTACAGGGTTGGGGCTGAGAGTTCCAATCCTTACCGAGACTCCTGGGAGAATAACTCGCCAAGATCACTTGGAATATGTGTGGCTGATGGGACTACATGCCTTTGCCTGATATGTACACTTGGGCAAGCTGCATGGGCACAAAAGTGCCACTAGAAGTAAGGACTGGTAAAGTAGTTCAGATTACTTGCTACCTAGAAAATCCTGGAAAGGTCACCATAAGTTGAAATCAATTTGATAGCTCATGATAAGAATAACTATATGAATATTCAGAGCTAGTTCAAAACATTTTGTTACCTGAAATGGAACCACAAACAGCCTCCTGTCCACTCTAGTGAAAAGGCACATTACCCAAAGCCAACCAAGTTATTCTAGCACATGTGGCAAAGAAAATCCCCAGATCATCTCTCCCCATTTTTGGCTATAAAAATATAATAGCAACAAATTAAGTATCTAACAATGATGGGAACCTTTCATGATAGCATCTCAAATCTGTTGCCTGTGATAAACAAAAGATAAACAAAAGAAAAAATAAGTACAGTGGTGCCTCGCATAACGATGTTAATTGGTTCCATTAAAAACATTGTTATGTGAAAGCATCGTTAAGCGAAACACCATTTCCCATAGGAATGCATTGAAAACCGGTTAATCCGTTCCAATAGGATCCTATTCAATACATTTCAATGGTGAAAAAAAATCACCAAAAATTCAAAAAGACTCAGAATGAAGCCAAATTACTTTAACGAAAGTTTTATTAGGCGCACTAACGATTCCAAGCATTTTAAACATTTTTAAACATTTTAGAATATTTTTAAAATAGCGAAAGCAGGGCTGTAAAAAAAAACGTTAAGCGAAACAGGGGACCTAAAACTGTCATCGTTAAGTGAAGCAAGGTCCCAAACATCGTTATGCGAAAATCCCCCATAGGAAACATCGTTAGGTGAGGCGGCAAAATTTCCAGCAAAGGCCATCGTTATGCGAATTCATCGTTGAGCGAGACACTTGTTAAGCGAGGCACCACTGCATATGAGTTGATTGTCCAACCAAAGTTACACACTTCTGCATGAACAAAGTGAACTTCATATTTGATTAGACTCTGAAAATATCCACATACTAAATTCCCTGGAGCCAACTGACCCTGAAGCAAGATATAAAGGATCCCTATTTTTCTAAGCAGGGTATTCATAATAGCTGTTGCATAGAAAATATTACTGTCTTCTATTGCACTGTCATAAAATAAGTTCCACACCTCCTTCACTAAATAACCTAGCAGCCTTGGGTCCCCTTATAGTGAGAAGGGAGGCATATAAAACAAACAAATAAACAAACTTGCTATACAGCTGGGCATCCTGTACAACTTTGTAATCTTTAACCTTTAAAGCGAATCTATAGCCATATCCAGCTGACAAATCTGGGTTAAAAACATATTCTTTCTGCTGTGCCAGTTCTGCTGTGCCAGTTCACAGCACAGGAAAGCATTTAATGTTGCAGGGGACTGAAATGGAAAAAAATTGCTTTATTCTTGGATGAGACTTCTGGAATCAGGTCAAAGGGTAAGTATTGTGCAGATAAAAGTGCAACCTGTGGAATCCTTGGTGTTTTTTCAAGCAGGTGAATAAGTAACAAGTTCCTACGCGATTTTCAGCACTGGAGAAGATAAAGTACACTGGTAGATATTCAAGTAGCTAACAGGAGTTCTTTGCCTTAACAGATGAAATGAAGCAGAAGCCTAGGTTCCAATTCTTCTCATTCTCCCTGCCATTTCTCCATCTGGAATGATTTTCTGAACACCTTCCACTGACACATTGCATCTTGTGTGGCCCAAACATGGAGAAACATCTGAAGAATGTTCTGGTGGTTTCTTTTGGATTCTTATTTCTATTTACAGCATATGGAGGGCTGCAGAGCCTGCAGGTAGGTGGATTTATTTGGGTGCCTAATCCACAATGACAGCGGAGTCTGGTCCAATTTATTTGGCACAACCTTTCATGCACTACAGGCCACTTCATTAGATGCAAGAAATGGACAAAGTGGACTGCAGCCCCCATAGTTTTATGCCATATAAAAGCTTAGGTCAGTCTTTAGGAGTCAAAAAATCTTTTTGGTCAGAATCCTGTTACTGATGCCCACCCGTTAAGAAGCTGAAGTTGAAACATGCATTTCTTGTTGTGTGCTAAGTCAAACATCAGTGTAAAAAAATACAAGAACTGACTTCTTAACTAGCATCAATACACCACTGAAAAGTATAGCTTGTCCTTAAGCTGGCAGGCATAAGTGATATGATTTTGGCCTTTGGGGTTTTTTTAAATTGCCAGAAATCAACATAGGTACATCTCTGGAAATGTTCTTCGCAATAATATGTGCTGCCATGGACCATATATTACAAGAAGCTATATGTAAAGAAGATAAAAGGGGGAGGTAGATTCTATTATGGAAGACAGCACTAGAACAAGGGTTCCCAACCTTGGGTCCCCAGATGTTCTTGAACTAAAACTCCCAGAAACCTTCACCACTAGCTGTGTTGGCCAGGATTTCTGGGAGTTGTAGTCGAAGAACACATGAGGACCCATGTCTGGGAAACATTGCACTAGAATAACACAGGAACCCTTTGAAGTTAGGCTAAAGGTCCGTCTCATGCAGAATCTAGCTTCTTCTTGCAATAGCCAATAGGAGGCCTCTAGATGCATTGCAGAAGAAAGGAGTTGCCTGAACTGACTATTAGTATTGGGTTGCTTCCTACTAGTAGAAAGTACTTGTTTCCAATTTGCTAGTTTTCAGTCACTGGTAGACTCCTTTTGAATATGGGGACTCTGTGAATCCATCTTGACTAATGGCCAACAATAGACCTAACTGTCATGATTTTGTCTAGTCTTCTTTTAAATTAGTGACTGTCACACAGTTCATTCCATAACTTAATTATGAATAAAATATGACTTCTCACCTGTTCCAAACTTACAGCCAGTCCCAAATCAGCAGCCTTGCGTTTGCTAGTCCTCTAGTATCACAAGAAACAGAAAGACATTTTGCCCATATCCACTTCCTCCATTTCAAGTATAATTGCCCAAATTTCATTTATCTACATTTCATTAATTTCATTCTTCATTCATTTTTTTCACCCTATAGAAAGCCCCAAACCTTGTATTTCAGGGTTGAGGAGCATATGGCCTTCCTAATATTGCTGGACTGTAATTCTTATCATTCTCCACAGTTAGTTACATTGTCAAGCATTAAGGGTAGTTGCAATGCAACGATAGCAATAGAACTGGTTGCCTCTGACCCATAAGCTGTGTCTCACCTGCCCCATTGTTAGGTGTTCATTATGTTTTGTTTGTGCAGAGCAGCCTCAATGCCGCTGATGGGCTGGGTGTTGCCTCTTTGAGCGTCGTCTATGGTGGTCTCATCATCTCCTCCATGTTCCTCCCACCAATCCTCATTCAGAAACTTGGTTGCAAGTGGACCATCGTTGGCTCCATGTGCTGCTACATTACATACTCTCTGGGCAATTTCTATCCCAGCTGGTAATACTGATTCTTTGCTACCTGTAAGATCTGTAACGAAATTTGGGACAATAATATCACCTGCTCACAATGCATGAAGCACCCACTATGACAGTATTTGGATGTATAGTAACTGGATAAGTATTTGTTTTCATGAAGGGCGTAGGATAAAAAAAAATAAGAATCTTTTACTACAGTATGACTATAAGTGTTACATATGAGGTTTACATCTTAAAAGGTTATTTTAATGTTCTTAATATTAGCACCAAGTTGAATGATTTGGAAATGGAAGTATTACTATGGTCTCTGGAATAAGTCAGGGCATTAGGAAAGAGGTACAATGGAAAGTGTTTGGGCAAGAACAAAGACTGCTTGTTTTTCCATCACATGATGAGTTGGGCATTGGCACCATTACTCATCTTGGGCTTCCATCATCAACTGATGGAAAATAAGTGAGATCTATCTTTTGATTTACTTATATTATTCGTAGGATATAGAAGTACTACTTGTTATTATATAATGTTACACATGTAGAATGTAACTATATTATAATTAGATGATAGTTTTATATATATAATGTAGGGACGTGGTAGTGCTCCGGGTTGAACTCCAGAAGCCTCTGTGCTGCAAGGTTGGAAGACCAGCAGTTGTAAGATCAAATCCACATAACGGAGTGAGCTCCCGTCGCTTGTCCCAGCTCCTCCCAACCTAGTAGTATGAAGGAATGTACTGTAAATGCAAGTAGAAAAATAGGTACCATCACAGTGGGAAGGTAACAGCGTTCTGTGTCTAGTCGCACTGGCCACGTGATCACGGAAACTGTCTACTGACAAACGCTGGCTCTACGGCTTGGAAACGGGGATGAGCACCGCCCCCTAGAGTCAGACACGACTGGACATTTGTCAAGGGGAACCTTTATCTTTACCTACATATAAAATATAAATAGAATAGAATATGTTTTATATAATAAATAAAAATCACTTACAGAGATTTAAGGCTGACTTCTAAAGATACCAAAGTAAGATGCACTAGAATACAGAGGGCAAATAGCCATTCTAATCTTACCTTTTATTGCTCTTGAGGGATTGAAGTTTATTTTAAATTTAAAAATTCCCCACAGTAAGCAGTTGCTTAAGCTGTGTCTTTTGCTTTAAAGTATAGAGATAACCTGTAGTCTACAAGTCTTATGTGGCCTGCAGGGGCTGGGAGGGAATGCAGTTCCCAGGCTCCCAGTTCATTGTATGTCAGCTAAATCTGTGGTTCCCATCCATGAGTAACCCAAGTGTTCTTAGACTGCAGTTCCCAGAAGTCTTCACCACCAGCTGTGCTAGCCAGGGTTTCTAGGAGTTGCAGTCCAAGAACACTTGGGTTCCCCATGATTAGGAACCACAGGGATAAATAAATGGTGTTACATGACAGAGATAAATATGTTTCTTCTGTCTATGGGGTGAGTGTAGATAACAGAATAAACGAGAGGCAATAACAGAGGAAATGTTTCTGCCTGACATTCGCTGCTCAGCAAGGAGAGTGAAAATGACCCATCTCAGGTCATGACTACATAGAAATTTGTCCCAGAATGATGTGAACTTCTCTGTACCACATGCTGGCATTTAAATTCCACATGCTGGCTGTTCTTCACAAAAACATTTAATTATTCCAGAGGTCCACACATTGCACACACACCCCTTCTTCATCAAGCTTCTCTACCATTAACACAACCCTCTTACCTATCTTTTTTCCTGGCATTCAAATCACTTCTTTATCTTTTAAAAAACATTTATCAAATGAAATAGCACTATACTGACAAGACATGGTAAGCATTGAATGCATGCCATTAGTTTAGCAGATAGCAGTAAGTCTGGCACTATAGCACTAAGCCAGGAGGAAAAAATACTTTTAAAAATGCAATGTAAAAAGTATGTTTCAGCTGTAGTCCTTACTGTTGTGAACAGATGGGAACAAAAGGAATAGGGTTGACTTTCGCCCCAATGACCATTCTGTGCATCATAAATGATGTCATTTGGACACACACAACAATGGCCTCAAACGATCTATCTAGCTGATCAGGCAACCCAAAAGCAAGGCAAAATAATGTGAGTGGAAATGCTACCCTCCAAAAAAAGAGAGGGGGGAAGGGAGAGAGAGGGATGGAGGGATGGAGACAGCCATGCCAACTGAAAAAACATGCCTCGTACCCCTGCCAAAATTGGAAGTACTTGCAATTAGTGCTAATATTATGTAGTTGACTGAATAAATATCAAAATGAATAAATATGCACAAACAGTGGGATGAATACCTGTCTAATCACCCCCTCAGCTGGGCAATGAGGAGGCAACGAGGCCAGCCTTGATTCAAAAGGCTAGGCAAAGTTCAATGCTATCCTATAGGTCGCACTGTTTCTCAGGATCTGAGTTTTTGGGCTTCTTATGGCCCAACTCTCCAAGTTGGTAGTATATAATTCTAGTCAAAACAAGACAGCAAAGTGTTCCAGTCAGAGCAAAACAGATAGCAGAGTAAATAAACAGCTACATCATCCAGCCTGTTATTTAAGCTGGGCTTGCTTATAGCAGCTGCTTTTGTAGCCTAGGTGATTAGTAGCTTCTCCCTCTTGAGTAAACAAGGCCCTTTGCCAGCTTAAAGGAGGCAAAGGCCAGCACATGCAGCATCTAATGATAGGTATTTATAGTGACGCTTGAAAGGAGGGGGAAAGGAAAGAAAGGTTTGCCTAATGTTATGTTATCCTAACACCTCCATTTCACTACAGCCTTCAGACTAGGTACAAAAATATCACAGATACCATGGGCCCATGTGATGGAAACATCCATATAGCAACTATATAAAGCCGTAAAACAACAAAAAGTGAAGAATAATGCCACATCTTGTCCTACTAGTCCCTTGAGTGGCATTGAGTAAGGGCAATAAATAAACCTTTTTGAAAAGATTGTAGTGATCAAAAAGTAATGGGAACAAATTGTTTTTAAAAAGTCAATTTCTGATCTCTTGATGTGGGATGGTAGTAAGGTAAAGGTAAAGGTTTCCCTTGACAATTTTTGTCCAGTCGTGTTTGACTCTAGGAGGTGGTGCTCATCCCCGTTTCCAAGCCATAGAGCCAGTGTTTGTCTGAAGACAATCTTCCGTGGTCACATGGCCAGTGCGACTTAGACACGGAACACTGTTACCTTCCCACCGAGGTGGTCCCTATTGATCTACTTTCATTTGCATGCTTTCGAACCGCTAGGTTGGCGCGTGGATTCGATCTTACGACTGCTTGGTCTTCTGACCCTGCAGCACAGGCTTCTGCGGTTTAGCCCACAGCACCACCACAGTCACTCTCTGATCTCTTGATGTGGGATGGTAGTACATAGGACTAAAGTTGTCAGCACTTCTTTCCTTTCGAAAAAGTGGTTGCAAAGCCCCCATATGGATCGTAGCACAGGGGAGGAAGTCAAGAAGCAAGTCCCAGGCCATTTGACTCTCAGTTTGTTGTTTCTCCAGAACTCCCACAATAGTTTGCCAGGACTCTAAGCTCAGTGGTGACACTTTAGAAAATGCTCTCTTGGACCTCCAGAACCTGTTCCTTTCCCCTTGGTGTCCAGTATCTATTTTATCACATACAGCTTAAGCACTGATAATTCTATCACAAAAGCCCTCTGTAGACTCTGTCTCCCTTCTGCCACAGCTTGATAACAAAATGACCAGTTGTTGTTGGTGTTTTTAAAAGAACCTCCCGTGAGTTTCCTGGGGTCCATGCTTTCAAATATTTATTCACTTAACTTGAACTGAGCCTAATTATCCCCTGCTTCCCTACACCTGCATGAAATGCTTCTTCCTGGTGAAAGTTCTAATACATGCGGAGAATTTCACATATTGTGCCTTTGTCAGATATGGTGTTTGCTAAAAGCATGACAAGGAGGCAGTCTAATGTGTGTTGGCAGCAAACTTTCCGTACAGTGTGATTTCTTGTATATCTTACACATGGCATTTTTATTTTTAAAAGATCCCCTAATTGTAGGTGGGAAAACTTCCACCCTCTGAAAGCTGTTTAACTACTAATTTCATTGTATCCTACCCCCCCCCCTAATCAGCTAGGGGTTTGATGAGTTTTAGAGTTGAATAACATTTGGAGAACCACATGTTCTATGTCCCCACTTTACTGCACAGAAAGAAATGTGGTGTATTTAGTAGGGATCAAATCGAATTGGCCCTCCCATTTGTTCTAGAGGTAAATTTGAGTCTTTGGAATGTATCCTGATTTAATCCAAAATGATATGGCATGGGTTCCATTCAATTTGTGCCCCAAATCCAAGTCAGTCTGGCAGTCTGGAAGCCTCTATTGACTTGCATTGGAAAATCAGAACAGCTACGAAGTTTTTGTGTTTTTTTGTTTGTTTAATATGATATACATGACATCTGGACCCCTGGTAGGCCATAAAGAGGGGAGTAAGCCTGACAGCTAAGTTCAGGAGGCTAGAAGAATAGAAACATTTGAATTTTGCTTTTAAAAATTAAAAAAAAGCTGAAGGGATTTGCACTCCATCTGATTCATTTGTGCTTTGGACAGAATCAGTTCATAAATTTGCTTCACTTTGACCAATTTGCTTCAAATTATTTGGTCCAAATCAGACTAATTCATTTCAGGATTTGGGGCTCATCTGAAGTAGGGCACAACTTCTATTTGGTAGCTACATTGGGTCTCTGTTTCAGGTTAAGTTGACTGTTTAAAAATAAATAACTAAACAGCATATTTCTGGCAGGGCTACACTGATACCTACATCGTTGATCCTGGGTTTGGGAGGAGCGCCACTTTGGTCAGCCAAATGTACCTATCTCACCATTGCGGCCAACGCATATGCTCCGAAAGCAGGGAAAGTAGGAAGAGATGTTGTCAACCAATATTTTGGAATCTTCTTTCTGATATTCCAGTCTTCTGGAGTCTGGGGGAATCTTATATCATCTCTAGTATTTGACCAGACTCCTAACAAAGGTAAATATACAGTAATACAGCAAGATGTAAGGGTTGTGTTGTTTGTTATTTAATGTAAACACAAGGGAAACCACCAGCTTCTTTTAAAAGTATAACCTCCCCCTACACCAACCATGAATCTTTGAGCTTGTTCATACAGTAGTGTTGTCCTCATTCCTTCTGAGGTTACACTGGTATTTTTTTTGTTCCAGGATTTAATAGATCATCCCCGTATTTGCATCCACGTGTGGGAAGGATATTAATTTTAGGGATGCAGCCAAGTTAATCACTGGGGTTGCTAAATTTGATCATCCCAGTGCAGCCTATACACATACATCTAGAATTGTTCACTGACATCTCCATCCCAATTCTGATTGCCCTCCTCTCTTGCTTATTTTCCCCTCCCTCACCCAATAGACCTCTGCTCTTCCCCCCACCCCAATCTCAAACCTTCATGCTTTTATCTATAAATCTATTTCATTGTATGGATTTGGCAATGGTTTTCTGAGGGTACGAACAGCAGATACTCCGAGAAAGCTAAACAGGAGTGGCACTCAGATGTGAAGGGGTAGAGATTAAGTAGCAGATCATACCCTTAAGGAAAGGTAATCAGACAACAAGCACCCACAAAGTGCATGCATCAGCACAGAGCAACATTGATTACCTACTCTGCCACATGCCAAGAAAGCAGTTATTTATTTATTTAGTTATTTAGTCAGTTAGTCAGCCAGTTAGTCAGTCAGTTAGTTCTGGTCACAGTTTGACTCTGGGAGTGACTAGACTGTGTCATTGTTGGAATTATCAGGAAAGACAATTTAGATGAGTGCCATATGCCCTATAGTGACCACTTATAAATTCATTCCCAAGATATGAGGCTTAGGGCAATCTGTTCCTCCATTGATTTGTCTGCCATTTCAATCATGTCCACCTGTCATGGAACCTCTTGAACAGCAGAAGTGGAATTTTAGGATTGACTGTCAGGCTTCTTCTCCACCATCACTGATCTTCTTGAAGATTAAAATCCTGATGAGCTTCTGAGGAACTGTAGTACTATGTGGAACGCAATCCGGAAATAATTATATTTATGGTTTTGATTCTTATCTGTATTTTGGCCACTAAGAAGTTCATCTTTTCTTTCATTTCTGTGTCAACTAGCCGAACCCTCGGACGCAGAGCTGGCATTCTGCGGTGCAGAAGACTGTGAGACTACATCCAATGTGACGAATAGCAATGGAACTTCAAACAGACCAACAGATGCTTTAAGATACACACTGCTGGGAACCTACACAGGTATGTGTAGGATCTTTTTATGTTGCATCCAGGACAGCATTGTGTGAGTCATATGTGAAATACACATTCATATGAGGTTGATGGGAAATGGTTCATCTGTGTTGCAAAAGTCTGCGTCTACTTAATCTCTGCCTGGACAGGAGACCATTCCATGTATGCTGCCTTGAATTAAACAAGAGTAACGCTGTAAATGCAAGCCCTAAATGAAATCTTGGGCCTTAAGTAGGTGCCATTTTAAACCTCCTCATGCTGTCACTACAAAACAGAAAAAAAATGCAAGGGATCCATATCTCAGTTTCCACTTTTAAAACACTTGGGGAGGACAAAGACTGTGTTTTAAACGGAGCAGTTGTGCTGTGGTAGAGAGTGGGTTCCCTTGTACTATCATCCCAAGTAAAATCAACCCCTTCTGAAGCAGTTATTATGTGGTGGTGCGGAAGCAGATATCACAACTCATTTTAGTTCCCCACATCCCACATACACATGTACTGTATATGCAGGGAAGCAGGTATCACAACTCACTTTAGATCCCCCATCTTTTAAAAAAGTAAAGTCCCGCATCCCACATACACATGTACTGTATATGCATGTGTATATATATATGAAGTTTGTGCTTTTGAGAACAGGGCAGTTTGACCGAGCCTGGCCTTTCACTTCTTAGTTCAAAAGATTTATTGTCTTGGCATGAGGAATAAAGGACACAAACACAGAATATTTCTGCCAGACAGCTGAGAAAATGTTATCTAGACCACTTAGTTTAGGACTAAAGTCAGGATCCAGCAACAAAATTATATCAGATCCTGCTGCTTCTACATGTCAATGTGGAGTCAGGGATCACCCTTTCTCCTGCATCCTCCTCCATCCTATAAATTTGCTCTGTAGGGCAAGGATATTTTAAAGCTACAAAGGGTAGGCAGAGAGGGCAGTCAGGGAAAGATTTCTGAATTCTGTTGCCCCTGAATATGAAAGTACCCCATTGGTTCATACCCTAAGTACATTGAGGCTTTGTTGCTGTCTATTTCTTACAAAAGCCGGTTGCTGCCTAATGCACTGCTTAGCGAGCTGAGCTATGCTTCTTCTGTTCCCAAAATGAGGTCCAGTTTTGAAGAACAGAATAAATGATTCATAACTTTCAAATTATTTTGTACACATCTATGATAAGGTAGTTTAATCCACACAAAACCCCTCTCCACATGATCTTTCTTCTCAAGGATGGTGAAGAGAGCTTCTATATGTGGTGAAATAAATTGTCCTCAGAATTCTCCAAATGCTGGTGCTGAATTTAAAACATTTCCTTATTGATAGTCACATATTTCTCAATATTTATCCAAATATTTGAAACCTGTGTTTGACTGCAAAGGATGTTTGATTTCAACATTTGATGTGTCTCAGTTAATATTCCAACATTTGACAGCAGACATGCAATGGTATCAAGCATTTAATAGTTCTGACAATGGTTGTACCCTAGCACCTAAGAGGGCAAGAAGGCAAGAGGAGAAGGCAAACCTGTTCCGTCAGGAACAGAGATGGAATGGAAATGGCCACAACTTAACATGCTATAGCTACATAGCATTTGGGGAACCACAAGACAAGGATCCAGTCAGCTGCCAAAAATGCACATCCTGTCTGACATATCTTTTCTTAGCCTGTCTGTAGGGAGAATAGAGAAGTGTGGCTCAGTAAGAGGTCAGTGAGTGTATTGTTGTGATAAGGAGAGACCAGCTAATGACACCCATCAACCACAGTGACAGATAATCTCTCCTTTTTATCACAACAGTACATCCACAACAAGACACACTAATCTCCCATCTACAGAAAAAGACAAAAGCCTGTCTCATAGCCATAAATACTCCCCTCCCAAGCCAACTACACCAGAGCACAGAGTGCTGTCCTCTGAAGATGCTGGCCACAGAGACTGGCAACACGTTAGGAAGAACAACCTTCAGAACACGGCCAAAGAGCCTGAAAAACCCACAACAACCAACTCTAGGTTATTTGGAGGCCATTTCCTCGCATACAAATTAGTCCTCCATTAATTTAATAAAGCTAAATATCCCAGTTCTCTAGACAAATTTCCCTCTTCACATGTATTTTGGAAAAGACCAGTCAAAAGACACAAGCTCATGTAGCCAGTTCATCTAGAGGCAATGTTGACAGACGCAAGGGTAGTGCATGCATGCTGATCTCTGAGTAACCTCTGACCTGACCTGGAAGGGTAAGAAATCTCTCTCATGCAACAGCACAGTTGGGTTCTCCAGCTGTCATAACATGTGACAGCTGAGCAAAGGGAGACAGTCCATGGTGTATGCCCTTCTACTGAGGGCTTTGGCTCCAAGCAAGGAGTTTATTTAAACTTTCTTGGCCTTTAAGGCTGGAATTACATTAGAGTCACTTATTGGCTAAGTACTCTGACCTTGTAACTCGGCTCTGATGAAAAATAAATCAAATCCTTGTCATTTAAAATGTTCTTTTTATTGAAATGCATCTTTCCATTCTTCAGCCAGCGGAGTGCTTGCTGTGGTGCTAGTCTCTGTATTTCTGGATCGAATCTCATCTGACCAAGCAGAAAGTGAAGAAAAAAAGATGCCGTCCTTTTGGTCCACTTTCTTGGCAACGTTCCGACATCTTAAAGACAAACGCCAGTGTCTCTTGATTCCTCTGACCATGTATAGTGGGTTTGAACAAGGGTTCCTTGCTGGTGACTACACCAAGGTAGGAATGTACTAGAGCTTAGAAATGTAACCTTTTGAATTACAACTCCTGGAATCACCTAGTTAGCATGGCTGCTAGCCACAGCCACCCATTTAAGAAGTATACATAATCAAGAAGGACAATTGTTTAGAAACTGTCATCAAGGAAGAGAAGGCCTGAACAGACAGAACTACATGGATACCACAAAAGGGCACAGACAGTTATACTGAAAATCATGTACCACCTGTAGTACACTTGTTCCATATGTCTCTAATACTTCCAATGGAACTGCTGTGGGCTATTAGATTGGGGAGGGAACAGATAATCACTTAGTTGCTCCTCTAAAATTTTGGTATCTGAGCAGCAAATGGCCCTTCCCTCTTGTCCTCATGATACACAGTAGTAGTCAATGTTGGGGAAATTATTTTAGTAATATTTTAGTATTTTTATATTTTTAATGCAGAGGCTGTCAGGTTTCCTGGCTGCCTCTGCAGTAAAAACATAAAAATAACAAAGTAAAGAATTTGCTCCCCTCTCATGACACTACAAAACTGTTGTTTAGGGCAGCTATCTCATCTGTGTAATGGGTCCGTAGTTTACAGAGAACACAGAGTATTGAACTTTAGTGCTGAGAGATACCTTTTTATAAGAGCATATGCATTTCCTCACCCATGCATATTGTGTTGTGTTTGCTTTGTTTTGTCATTGGCCATTGGAAGGTGAAAACACAGAGAAAATTTGGAAGTCAGTGTGTCAAGACACACATGTATGAGGATATTACATTGTAGGAGGAGAAGTGTTTAAATTAGATGGAGTATGCATTGTCCTTAAAGTATCATTTTACCAAATGTCACCAGGCTGAATAATCAGGGAGTTCAGGCTTTGCTACCCCAGGATAACTGAATGTGCAAATAGGTCCTAAGGTGTTTTCTGCCTTAATGCTGCCGTTCCTAGCCACACAATCACCACCAGAACATTCCCCTCTATAGATGTATTGGGTTGAATCCATCATTACAGTAGATCTTACTCAACCAGGCGGGCAGAAGTATCTCTCTATAACAGCCCCTGGAAACGATCTGCTGAGAGACAGGAGACTCTGTTGAAAGAGGTACATTGTGATGGAGAATGTACCTCTTCCTCTGAAATAAGGAAGAGGCAACTTCCATGAGTGGAGCCCATCCATCTATAGAAAACAGATTCTAGATCCAGCCTAAACTCCTCCGTGTTAATTAGAGGCGGGCAAAGTGTGCCCCAGTTTCTAAAACATGTCATTTTGTGACAGCAAGCTTCACGCTAATGCCAAAAGCTCTGCGGTCCAAAATGAAGTGATGCTATTTTGATCTCATCTGTGTTGCATTCACCCAGCATTCAGAAACAAAGTTTGAATCTTCAGTCTCAAAGGAAAGCATAAGAATTTGCTGCAAGCAACAGCAACAATAATAGTCTTCATAACGGTAGCAACACTATAAACTGTATCTGTCTCTCTTTTCTTTTTTAGTCATATGTGACCTGTGCACTTGGTATAAATTGGGTTGGTTATGTGATGATCTGCTTTTCAGCTGCCAATTCACTCTCCTCCATGCTTTTTGGGAAGATTTCCCAGTTCACCGGCAGAAAGGTTCTCTTTGCACTAGGTAGGTAAAGGCTCACTGAGGGGTGAGAGGCTCACCTGGTACGAGGATGGTTGGATATGGTCATGCTTTGCAGCTTTGGTGACCTGGCCATAACACAGCTGACAGAGTCACCGGAGGCCCAAACTAGGCAATATAGTTAGCACATTATAAGAAGGAGAGCTCTTTTAAGAAGTAAAATATATCTGTTTGTTCTAGCACAGACTTGCCTCTCTCCATGTGGTTCAGAACCACTTGTGTTTGTTTTTGTTAGCCACCAGAAGATAAACAAGGGCATCGTTTGCAAGCCTGATTGCTCAGGCAGGCAGCTTTGGAAGATTTACAAGCCTGAAAAGAAAATACTGCTATAGCAAGAAATATGTGTTTCTTTTAATGTGTGGTTTGACTAAGACTCTTCTTCAGTTCTCATGGTCGACCATGTATTCTCCAGTAAGAATGGAACCTGTTCTCTAACCAAGTCTACACCATATTATAACCTGATCTTTAGCACTTTAAATTTCACTTGTAGATAATCCCTAATGGTTGCAATTTGATTAAGAGAGTATGTTCAAGAAAAGCAACATTGACTATCTGAAGGAATTCCATCTCTCTTTCTTCCACCTCAATATATTCCAGCTCTGAGGTTTTTCTCTTGGCTGTACCTCGCGAACATCAAAGCAAATGAAGGCTGCAATCTTATGCACATGTTCCAAGAAGCATGCCCCACTGGACTGGGTGGTGAATTTTACTTCTGAGTATACATGTGCCAAGAGGATATTTTATCTGCTGTGCTGGAACCTACTGGTGCTTAAGCCCAAACTCCCCTTTCCGCGGTCAGCCAAATTCATCTTGCTGCCACAGAAAAGCATGATAAGGCCATTCTAAATAAATCTAATTTAGCAACAGATGATCTTTCCAACTATTGGCTGGTTGCAACATTCCATTCCTGGGAAAGTGGATTGAGAGGGTGCTGCTGCCCAGCTGCAGGCATTCTTGGAGGAAACAAATAGCCTAGAACCATTTCAATTGGGGTTCAGGCCAGCCCATGGGATTGAATTGGCATTGGTAACCCTGCAAGACCGGGTAGGTGGGGCTCGTCAGCCCTGGAAGGCAGCCCATCTAGGAGAAGGAAAACTCCGAATTTAAACCTCCACTGCCTTGTGGCTATATC